CATCCTTCAGAAATTACTAGGGCTACAATCAAATCTTCTGTTTTTAATATCCAGGTGGACAGTAATGGACTGTCCAGACTTACATGCTAGCCCCATATTTCCTAATGTCCACTGTTCAAGCAGTATGGTTTTTCAAAAGCAGTAGCAAAAGTATTAACATATACAGAAATTGAGAAGCTGATTGAGTGTCCACAGAGACATATGCAGACACATATTTATTGCACCAGTGAGAGTCAGTAGTCACAGACAAAGTGCAAAGAATTAAGACTTTGTTCTTGAAGCTACATCCCAAGCACCGACACTCACGGCCCCTGAAAGTGAGCTACCTACCTCTTCTAACCTGCACATGCAAAAAGTCTCACCTACAAAACAGCACATTATGGTTTTAAACTAATGTACCCTTTAGCTAGCCTGCGGAGGAAATAATTTTTGAAAAACCATCCAGCTAAATCCCATTTGTTCTACATCTCAAAGGAGGATGAAGTAAATCCATTCTGTCTCTCATTAGTCTAATAATACTGTCCTTGGGACAATCTGTATTCAGCCTGACCCCTTTGCCTGTACTTTACCCCAATTAGTTCACCTCATCTTGAGGAACTTTTAAGATTATAAATGCCTATACAGCTTCAAACCCCTGCCAGATATCTAGGCCAGGAATGCTCATTCAGAATCTCAGTGAGTCCACAATCATCAAGAAAGACAGGATAATTGGCAAGCCTATGCACACAGTATGTGTATACATTAAAGTGTGGGTCATGAGATGTTGAAGCTTTCATTTCATCATTTTGTAGAGGTGTAAAGTGAGCATTTGTGGGCTGGGACAGAGGTAGAAGATTGCAAAGAAGGTCCCTGGCTGAGAAAAGTGTTTTGTTTTGTTTTGGTTTTTTTTTTAATTGCTTCTCAAATTACATTGCTATCATACTGGCAGGTTTTTCTTCAAATACTGGCAACTAAAATGTGCTCCATTTTATTACAAAGGAAGCAGAGGATAATAATTTTGGACTTTGTGAAATTTAGGTGCACGCTGTAAGAAGTTGTAGCCTTTGTGATAATTTCAGTGAAGTATTTTGGCTGTCAGAGTTCTCAATAGCCCTGTTCCTCCCTCCCCTGCCAGTGGTGAATTTAAAGTATTGATAGACACAGAAAGATAGAGCTTAATCTCCTCTGTTCTCTTCACACTGAAGGCCCTCTTGGGTCCATTGCTGAAATAAGGTACTTGCATAAGTATCCGCATAATTCTGTTAAGGATTCCAGGTATTGCTGTTGGTATGTTAAAAAATCCACTGCTTGGTGGATTTTTTTCATGCTTGAATTTTTTTCAGGTAAGGTGTCACCCATTTCAATAAACAGTGATAGACAAAAAGAAATCAAGCAAGATGTTGGATGGACCAACTTGACACATGCAAAAATAATTTCTTGTTCCTGCTTTTGACAGCTCAGTCTGAATGTCTTAACCTAAACTAAGATACACTTTTTCAAGAGTATGCTTTTTTGATTTTATCGGGACCTTAGAAAATTACCAGAATGTGGTTCTGCAAAACAAACTCATGAACTCCTGAATATAGTTCCTCAACTCTTAAGATGCTCTTGCTTGTAAGGAACATTTACAGCAGCATTCCATAAGCTACAATACCACTTAGGATGGTATTCAATTTACAGATTTTAATAAGTATAGTCCATTTTAGGTTGTGGGCATGACAACCCCCAGATCAGCTTTACCTTCTCAACAGAGAACCCCTACATTTGTACACTTAATAGTAAACTAAAACACAGTGTGGGTATGTCATGCCAGCAAGAGTAAATATACTCATTTTTGTTCACCTCGTTTGCTTGATAACCACAAAGTGAAACCATGACAGCAAAGAATTCTGTGTAAACTGGTCACTGGAGGACCACAGCACTTACTGAGGCAAGTGGCCTGGAAGGATGTCTACTATTTCAGGAGAGGTGTGCTCAGCTGTCCTGTAATCAGACCTCCCCACAAACTCAAAGCATGCTTTGCTCCGCAATTTTTTTTTTTTCCTCTCTTCCTTGCAATCAATATAATTTGGTGGGACCTTTCTGCCCCTGACCAAGTATACTGCGAGGCCTCCTGTTTAGCTGGGATTTTAATAAGGTAACATGGGAACAACTTGATCCTTAGCTTTAATTTCAGGTTACATATATATGTGTATATATTTTAATTATACTTGTTAAGGTATAATTGACAGCCACAATATATTGAGAAACAGATACAACTCCTAGCTAAATACCCAGAATATTCATTTCCAGCAAACTGCCAAGATATGCCAGTGGAGATATGTCCATCAGGTACTAACAGGGAAAAAAAGAAAAAAAAAAAGGAACTGTGGGACACCCTTCCTAAATGAGCAGGACAAAGAACTGAGACATTTCTTGATGCATAATCTGTAAACTGACTTCTGGCCTGTTGGGTAGGACAGTACTCCTCCTGGTGCTGAGCTTGTGGCTGTGTGACTAGTTACAGAATATAAATCCTTCAAGTGGCAAGTGGCACACATACATGCTGTCTGTTGGTAGCAGTTACTCAGGAGTGCACCATATGCACTCCCCACTTCTGTGCATGCATCGTTAAACTAACTGCTAAAGCTGTCATCTCACCTCCTTTAAGATATCACGTACTATCCCCCTCACTGCAGTCTTTCCATGACTTAAAGAGGAAGTTGTCCTGCTGTTTCCTCCAGCAAAAAATTGTACCCATATACTTCTTTGCACCCTCTTACACCTGCTGGGTTGAGGGACAACTGACTGGTTAGCACATCAACAAGCTAGCTAATGGGTTTAAACATTGTAATTGAGGAATGATTATTCTAAGAAATTCTGACAAGGTAGAAATCAAGTATAGGACCCAAGCAAAAGCTTGAAATTAAAAAATCTATATAGCTATGCCTATATCTAACACCTACACTTCTAAAAAAACCACTGATATATCTAGCAAATGCTAACACAAACCAAGAAAAATACATATGAGAAGTGAACAATGTATACCCTGCTTTGATAGTTATTGAATGCTTACACGCAAACAGAGTTTCATGAAGCTTTGAGACTGAAATTTCCCTGCTCCTTGTTTTCCTCCTTAAAAATAAATAACTGTGTCTGAACATTGGAATTGTGGTCTGTTGTGAGCTGAGCTGAAATTATGTAGTGGATTCAGCACATACTGGAAAAGCAGAAAGCTCCTGCTATCTTTGTGAGCTAGTTGAAAAGTGAAAACAGATTAGAAAAATAAGTTCTTCAATAGGCAGCAACATTGCTTTCACACCAGATTTGATGAATAAGTCCTCCCAGCGGCACTAACACCTGATACGCACATTGCATGGATTAGCAAGTTTTAGTCCAGGCAGAAGAAAAAACATTTTTTTTTCCCTTCCAGTAACTGCTTCAGGTATATTATCTAATGGAAACACAACAAGATTTCTCTAAGGAATGTGAAATTCGTTTGGTGTTTCCATCAAACAATTATATGTTGTTCATCCACTATCGGTGAAGCACTGAGGCATATCCAGACCTGATTACATTTATTCTTAGCTCCAGATCAGACTACCCCACTAGGGCAGCAAGCAGTTTCTCATCTCTGCCTTACCAGATCTTTGATGCAGGTATACACAAAAGAGGGGTTTCTGATAACAATACAGCCACATTTGCTTAATATCATGATCATCCGAAATCAGAATGTCTTTGATCATTAATGAAGCCTTTCGGAGTGTTTCGAATTAAAGGATAAATTTTCAAAGACATGTAAGAGGGATTTGCTGACTGTCTTCTGTTCAGACCAGGGGGAGGTAAACAGCTCAATCCCCATACACGGCTCTGAAATGTTCCCTTTCAAATACTTGTATTTTCAAAACGCATCAGACTTTTCAATAACTAAGCAGCTTCTAAGAACAACAGTATCATTTCCACTGATGTATCTGTCAGCTAATGCTACTTCCAGGAAAACAGGCCTGCAGAAAACAGAACAGCTCAAAGATTTTCACAGGAGAAGAATATGAAGTATTCCTAGGGGTTGTGCCCCTTGAGCTGCAAAGCGTGTGTTTTTTTGCACCACAGTGCACGCCAGAGTCTGCCCCTCCACATACAGAACAGGACACAGGGCTAAGTGAAAAGTGGTCTTGCAACAAACAGCACTTTTGCCTATCAGTGTTCACTGAAGGCTCTAACTTTTAGAGATTACTAGCAGGCGGTACACCAAAAATATCAGTTCAGCACAAGAAAGACTCAGAGGAGCATGAAGGTAAACAAGGATTAGAATCATATTGTGAGAAAGACGTCAAGCGGCACCTGATGGACACAACAAAGGTTAACATCCAAAGTATTCCTTGCAAATGTGGAGGGAAACAGAATCTTTCCCCAGTTGTTTGCAAATTTTGTTCATATGTGCTAACTACGTGCACAATGTGGTCCTTAACATTTCTGAGAAACATGGTAGTTTATGTAAGTGCATAAGGGAAATCAAAACCTGAATTGCTTTTTGGAAATGCAATAAGCTACACATTCTTCTCCCTGATGATTTTTATCATTAATAATTTAATCTCACAAACTAAATATCAGAAGGTGTAAACAAGTTGTTAGAACAGATTCTTGAGAGCTATTCTTTCCATTACAGCAGGACTTTTCTATTCTGCAAGGAATTTTTGCAAGTTATCTCTGAGAGACAGAGAAGGATATATGGAATTCCCTCACTCATATCTGTTATTAAATACGTATTTCTTATTTAATTAAAAGATTTTCTAAGATTACTTTTGATTCATTTGGTCAAATGGCAAAGAGTAATTAGAACAACCAAGGTTTGGAAGCCCATTAGAAAATAATCATTCTCAGCAGCAAAAGTAACAAACATGAACTGAATATTAAGACATTATCTCCTCAAGGTCAAAAGAAGTAGTTCAAGAGGTTCCAACTCTCTAATTTAAAAAACAAACAAAAAAACCAAAACCCAACAAAACAAAGCAGAAAGAACAGGTATCTGACAAAGTACTTACTACAATGTCTTCAGGAAATGTATCCAGACTGAAAGAGCCATCATCAAACATGACTTCATAGAAAAGTTGAGACGTCACTCCTATGACTCTGCAACTATAGTATCGTGTATTCCTATGTTTCGTGATGACTGTCTGCCCAACTGTAATGGCCTTCTCACATGCTTTGGCTCTCTTGAAGAAAGGACAAATTTAAAAGAAAAACTAATTTTAAAATACCAGCTTACTCATTGGAAATTTATCAGTGTCAAAAAGAACTGATAACAGTTCATCACTCAATATAGAAACTTCAAATGCAAAATCATTCCTTCCAATTATGATCACACGAATTTGTTTAACATACAAACCTTCTGCATTTTATAAGAAAACAAACGGCATCTGAAGAATAACAACTCACAGCAGTCAAAAAAATTTTTGCAACTGATACCTTCTAACTATCCTACATTAGATCAGTAATACACTATTAGCAATATTTGTAAATTTTATTTGTCAAATAATTTGTAGAATTTGCTTGAAGAGGTAAGATGTGATGAACACAGACTATGGTCTTGCATTGTTTTAAATGATGGGATTTTTAAGTACTGGATTTCAGTATGATTCTACATAATTGCTTAATTTGCTGAATGGGATGCAATAACTAAATGTATAGCCCGTTCTTGTCAGAGCTGTCTACAGCAGTGTATATGAGTAACTTCCTAACTCATACTGTGCAGAACTTTTGCTTTAAAACTTCAGACAACATTGACCACTCTTCATCAGTTATTTATGTAGTAAGTCAGTAACAATAATTTTTTTTCATTTCTCACTTTTAATTCCCCAGAGCTAGTTATGTCAATCAGAAGAGTACCAGGGTTGTTAAACTATGCAAAAATTCTACATCAACAAGTGCTTGATGGATTCTATAGATTAAAAAAAAAAAATGGAACCTTGTAAGTGACCAAATGCTTAGAAGCTGACATGATGCAGACAGCTGTTACATCTCAGCTCCCAACCTGTGTATCCCCATAAACCTTCCACTTAAAAAGCAACCTTCTTCACCAGGGAAAATGAAATCAAGAGCTTCTCAACCTAATAACACAAGGAAGACACTTCTTTCTTATGATCCTGACTGTCTATTCATTACCTCACAAAGGTTCATTTGTTTATGCAAAAGTGAGTTATTGTGACTTTGTCTATATCTGAACAGTTGACCTTTTCTTATTATGCAAGATGCTACTACAAGGGGCAACTATACTGGTATATACTAAGCATAAAATATTTTTTATGAGAAATGTTTATATAAACAGCATGAAAATACTTCATTACATATGTTAAAGTAATTATTCAATTTCCTAGCACTGCTTTTCAAACCTTCAAAGGCAGTGAATTCTTAAATCAATATAATAATCTTAAAAAGTGTCTGTGAAAATCTGGAAAATGGTACAGCTGTAGAATTTTTAGCACTAATACCAAAGGGAGAATCAAGGACACCATCAATTCTTTTCGTTAGATTCCAAGCATTAATAACAATGTCAATGCTTTTGTGGAAGAGGAAAAACCCACCCTAAATTTGAACACTTCTGTTTTTGCGGTAACTGTAGTCACTATTGTGCCTCTTTCTTGGACCAATTTCTGGGTTTTAGAATTTTTAAACCTCTCTGCTCCTGCAAACTAAGGGCAAACCAAGTACAAATATTCTGTACCATTTCTGGAGACAGTGCACTAAATCTCTGTGTGTCAGAGCTCTGCCTGACATACGCATTTGGAGGATTTAGTTGAGGTCACCTCAGATAGTAAAGCCCAATGATATTTCTAAAGCATTTTCAAGGGTACCTAGAAATAATGTTCTGAGCATACTCACAAATTATTTAACCATTTACATGTATAATAAAATTGTTTCTTCCTCATTTTACCTGTCTATAGTTAGACTAAGCAGCGGAATTAGCTATCCAATCTTGAAACATATGTAAACATAACAATTCTTGACTTTATTCTCTTCGGTTATTTGGGGGAGATCAGAAGTAAACTGGAGAGTATTAATTGATTTACTCATATAATAGAAAATGTTTGATATTACAGAAGCCCAAGGAGAAATAGCTCTATTAAAAGGTTTAAAGGTTTTTAAAGCCTGAAGACGGAACTCTTCAGAGAAGATGGAGGGCAAAATATAATATTTTAAGAGAAAGTACAGGCTGATTTAATGATAAATTTTTCAGAGAAGAAATGCCATTGCTTATTAGAATAAATAATAAAAAACAGAAATGCATCCTAGCTCAAGGAGATTATTTTTTCATATGTTATCTTGGTAGGATTCTTGATTTATTCCTCAGAAAAAATATTGACAAGCACACTCTGTAATTGATTGCATGTCCCAGAAAACATTTCCTGTCAGAAAATCTTAAGAATTTATTGATGTTAAGAATGTCATTTTTGATCAGAAAGGAGAGTTGTTATGTAAGGGAGTCTATCAGATTAAAGAAACAGCTGTGGTAGTTACCAGATTATTGAGAAAGCTGGGGTAAAAAGCATGATTTTAAAAATATTGACAAGCACACTCTGTAATTGATTGCATGTCCCAGAAAACATTTCCTGTCAGAAAATCTTAAGAATTTATTGATGTTAAGAATGTCATTTTTGATCAGAAAGGAGAGTTGTTATGTAAGGGAGTCTATCAGATTAAAGAAACAGCTGTGGTAGTTACCAGATTATTGAGAAAGCTGTGGTTTAAAAAGCATGATTTTCTTTAACAGTACCTAAGCCAAGGATGAACTAAGATAGTAGCAGAAATATAGAAAACAACCAGATACAAAGAAAAAAAGTTAACCTCTCCTTCTGTGTGCAAACTTCAAAAAGATAAGAGGGAAAATTTCTTTCTCCATCATTTTCTGTATGGCAGGACAGAAAAATTTTGTTAAATAAAATATATAAACTATATGTATGTGAAATAATAATAACTATCACGAAACAGGCACCTTATTTATATCTAAATATCTAGAAACTTTCTCTGACTACAATTTTTAATGGGGGATCCTAAAAATTCTGAGACTTATTTGATATAGGAACATAACTCCCATTTCATCATTTTAAGCTTACTCCTTGGAACTCCAATTTGGGCATAGAAATGATGCATGACATCTCAAAAATATGCCGGCTCATGATTTTTGAATAATGTGTCCTTCCTAAGGCATGCCTTAGTCTCTCTGAAATGTTATGGGGCTGGCAGTAGTTAGCAGACAGTGGAAAACAATGATATTGCATTACTCAGGTATACAACAGAAAAACGATCTACAGCTTCCATTTGACAACATCCCTTCATTCCCTGTGTGCTACAGAGGTAAGAACTGGCCAATAATAGCAGAAGATAATTTGAAATAGCTCAAAAACTCCTATCCAGGGGGTTTTTGCAGCTTATATCTTTGCCCCTTCTAAAGACAGTCTTTCAAAACACACGTAACTGCGGCTGCCTCAATGGCCTCGTCTGATCACATTTTCCAAATTCAACATCCTCTGTGAGTATATGTTTGCCTACAGCTGGCTTTCTCCGACCATCAGTGCTGTCTTTGCTAATCTTGTATGGATCCTTTAGGGTTTTTTTTCCTGTTAGTATAGTTGCATACAACTTTTTCTCATTTCCTAGTGTATGAAAGGCTTCTTTTAATCAAAACAAATCCATCTGCAGCACCTATTCTCAACCGTACTTCCAAGTGTTCTTGCAGTTTGATGACAAAAAGGTGTGAGGGATATGTTTCATGCCCAGAGACAAGCACAGTCAAAGAGGAAAAATGAAAAAAACATGACCTCCTGTCTGTAAGTAGTAAATCTCAGAGCCTTCCTTGCATATTGACACTCCAGTTTACATAACAAAATAATACAGGCTGTGACAGGAAAAATCAAAAACATTCTTTATAAAACAACTTTTCTGCTAGCAAATTTTTGTGTTATTTCTGAAGCTGTACCTTCAGCAAATACAAGAGGCATGCTTACTTTTGAGTCCATGGACCTCCAAAGAACATATTTTTGAAAAGTCATATCAACACTTAAAAACTCCGGTTCTTAGTATTTGTATATTTACTTCATTTGGCAGCAGTACATCGATGCAATAATAATGCTTTCTGGTTTGATTGTCTTTTTGATGATTTTTCATCAGAAGACCCTCCAGTGTTTTCCATGGTTGACATTAAAATAGTACTCTAAGAAAACATCCTGAAGACAATACAGAATCTGATCCCCAGTGAAAGACTTGTGAAAGTATACTGATGAATAATTTGGACACAATGTGCTTGAGATCACGGGTATAAATAATTTGGATGCATACTCCACCTCATCATTGCAATAAGCCCTTGCCTGAGGTGAAGAGATGATACACTAATACCAGTAATAATACACACTTATCTGTACATAGGTAGGTTTTTTGTTGAGCACCCTCATTGATTTACATATTACAATACCACTATAGACCTATGTCACAATTTTTCCTAGGATCCAGAAGCCGTCCTTTGGTTGTTGAGTTTTGGGTTGTTTGGTATTTTTTTTTAAACTTGAAGAAAGTAGCAATCACAGGTATTCACTGAGCATTTAGGCATACTGTCTAGAGGCTATATTAGTGAAAAAACCAGACAATTTTCATTTTGTTTCCTTGAAATGAGGAGAAATAATAGTGTCTTTGCTTTATGTACTATGTTTTCAACTGCTCAATACCAGAAGAGATTTTTTTTCTTGCTGGCAAGACAATCTATTTGATTCCTGTAAAAATTTGCAAAGAGAGTATAATATTTCAGTTTGCATGATTCCTCTGTTCTGCTTTCAAGCAAGGAAGTTAAAACAACAGACAAACAAAAAAAGTTCATTAGAAGTAAGATACATTGCTATGCTTAATGGTGAAGAGCAATGTAATTTCTGCATGAAGGAATAGCTAACAGCTAAGAAAAGCATAACATGAAAACCAATGGTGAAAAAAATTCCAAAGGCTTAAAGATGTGATTAGATTAATTATCCAAAAGACGGAGTATAAAACCAAGCATATACAAACATATGGCAATCTCCTTTGTCTTGGGAGTAAGTTAAGAATTTCACAGAAAAATATTCTTTAACAAATATCTGATCTTTCCAAGTTTTGGCCCAATGACAAACACAAAAGCATAATTTTTATTTCTTTTCTGCAAATCTGATTTTGATTTGAGCCACAGGAAATAAGGTACTAATACAGAATTTTTTCAAAAACGTTGGTGCTGAGTTTCAGGAAAGGACGTGATAGTCTCATTTCAAGCTACTTTGAATGTCCTTCACACAACCTCTTTAAATAGTAGCCACACAAAACCCTGTTTCTCCATAGTTGGTGTTTTGTTTTTTTGTTTTTTTCTTGGACACTACCTAATATAGGTCAAGAAAATCACTAAGAAAAAATGGATTTTATGGGATTCCATGTCACTCTATTGTTTTTTTTTCAGATGAGCATGTGTTTTGTTCCTTATCACTCAAAATAATAGTTATTTAATAACTTCCGTTCCAGAGAAAGTGCACACTAAGAAAGTTAAGTGCCAAAGTCTGCACTGTTTTATATTAGATTGAAAGGATAAATTCTGCTTAAAAAACCTACCTGGTTTTCATTAATATTTTGTAAGTATTTCTATTAAGAACTAACATGAACACAGAAATACCAGAAAAAAGTCTGTTTAGGACAGATATACCACTATATTATGTGCTGTATAAACATAGAAGAAATAATCTGGAACTTCAGCACATTTACCATTGAGTATCATAAAAGAGAATAAGGTGAAGAAAATCACATGCGTTGTTTAACAGCATAAGGGGACTCCAGCACCATAGACAGATATATTAGAGGAAGGTGGAAAAACTAAGGGGCTGAGGAAGTGGCCGCAATATACATATGAAGTGGGAATAGAAGAAAATATTATGCTGAAAGTCCTGTTTGATCAGGGAATGACGTCCCAGCTACTGATGCAAATTCCACTACCTATAGTATAAATACTTGTCCCAAACAAATACTAGAAAATATTTGGGAAGAACAGCCCTATTTTTACTGGCCATGATTTTAACCCCACAATTTTCAATTAATGATAATGTTTTCCAAGAAAGCCAAGAAAAGTATCTTAAGTTGCCAATACAGATAGAGGTTTAAGTTTATTTGTTTTTCAAACCAAACTCATTTCCTTGAAAAATGTTTGAAGAAACTAAAACCACATGAAGTGTACTGGTTTCACATGTTAATTCATTTTGGAAAATATCTTTAAAAGGTTTAACAGTTCTGTGGAAGTTTTAAACAGGGACACACAATTTGTTTCCCTTTTTAAGAACCACCAGCAGACTGAAGACTCAGGACTGATTACTCTAGTTGGGAGGCATTACATTTTACTACACTTGAAAGAAAATCTTACTCTTCAGTAGTCTTGTCATTAAGACCAAGGATTCACTGACAACTTCTTGAAAGAAAGACATATATTATAGAGATATTGCCTGCGTTTATTTCTTTCACTTCTAATGTATAAAGGAGATTAAAAGTTTGCAACTTGTGAATTATAAACTTGACTAACTTACCAAGCTATTTCCTTAATAAGAGTACATTAAATCCTTCTAGTTTGCTAGGAAACAAAATACAGTTTTAAAAGCCCAAGATAAATGGCAAGAGTTCTCTCTTAACTCAGATAGTAACAATTCATTCAAATAAAAGACATTAAACTAATTCTTCATGTGTCTCATCTAAAATTAAAGGCTCCTCCTCAGCACAGGCTAGAAATAAAAAAGCTCAGTAAAAACATGAATTTTCATGACATACCAGTGTTACTTTGCCAGATGACAGAATAATTATAATTGGATATTTGCAAGACACTGTTTGGCTGTGGAATAAAGAACTTACATATACACCATATCCTTTATCTCACAGTATCTGTGAGTATTTGCAAGATACTGTGATCTGGGTATTTGTAATACACTCCAGGTTAACAAAACAGAGAACTCAAAGATTTGTTCTGGCTGTCAAAACAATACATTCAACAATGACTCTAATGCAAAAATGTGTTAGGCATATCAAGTATAATTTCTCCCAGGTAACAGCATAAGGAAAAATCTTCAAGATGTAACAGTTTGCTATGTATGGAAATATGATAGATGGAGCTATTATGATACATAGCATGGATCCTTTCTTCCGTTTTCTCTGGAAACGTACTTTAATTCTGCAAGTCCATTTTTTAACAAATAAGGAAACAAATTCCTTACCACATTTTGGTTGATCTTGTGCCTGAAACATGTGATGTAGACAACATATGGCCAGTCATCAGGTTCCATCAGCACTCCTGCAGCATGGGCACAGGTAACATGGAATGAAGCTGGGCAGCGGCCATATGAACACTGAATGCAGGCACCAGAGGTTTTCTTAATTCTCTGTCTGCAGAAGATACATTTCTGTAGAAGCAAAATAAACAGAGAATTTACCATACTATCCCAACTCCATTGACTTCTGCAAGTATCTCAAGGACTGAAAAGTTATTTGTGCTTCATTGATTACATTTTATACCTTGCAATGTGCATGGCAAAAGACCTAGCATTTATGAATTACAAGGTAACTTAGTAATATGACAATTAAGAGATAGCATTTTTGCCTTTTTTATGTTAATGTGAAGACCATCTGTTCTGGTGCTATAGTAAGAAAACTCATATATAGATAGCTACTTGAAAGTTTAATTTCAGATTTCATACACTCCTGAGAAAATTAACCTGCTCCTCCTAAAATGGGTAAATTGAAAAACCTATACATAATTCTGCAAAAAGTAACAGCAAGACTCAAACATTAAGAGGACAGGCCCACAGAAATGTAGGGCTAGACAGGAATTCCGCATATCCTTTAACCTAGCCCCCTGCTTTGAAGCTGGACTAAATATATACTTAATCTTTGGGAGATGGCTAATCTAACATGTTTGTGAAACGGTTTCTACAACAGCCTCAGATAACCTGTTACAGTGGATAAATCTCCTCATAGAAATGTTTTCTTATCTCAAGCCTTTGCATAATTCCACAGCTGAAGGCTGTGCCTAAGCCTCTTCTCATTTTTTCTAGTCTGATTTTCATTGGTTGTGTATTTAATACAATGGTGATTCAGTAGGCTGTATTTCCCCACTTCATATGTTAAAACATCACGTCAACAGCTTTACTGGTGTCAAGACATACCACTTTTTTCCCTTTTGCCAAAATGAAGACCACATCAAAATATTGTCACTATTTTCTAGGTGACATAAGTAAGTGGCTCATATGAAACAAATGAAGGAACATGAGCTAGGTTAACCAAGTCTGGGAAATAAGCTCCACCATATTAAAAAAGACAAAGTACAAGATGACTGGTATCTTGCCACCAAAAGACATTAACAAACACACTAGACAGAATAATTACTTTAGTAACTTCTATGGACAACTGTGTTATATCACATATGGGAACCATCCCCTGATAACTCTCATCACGGCTAAAAAACTGCAAATGTTACTGATGATCATAAAATTATCTCAGCTATTCTAAAATAAAGACATTTTATTTAATGACACAAAGCAGTGAATTCAGGAATTTGAAAACATGCTGCTGGAATAGTGATTACTTCCATTTGTTCTAAATTTGCTAGTCACTGGTTTTGTCAAACACCCTCTTGTCTGCCCATGCTGGGAACATGAGTAAGAATAATTTTGATTTAGTTTTACTGTATGGTTAATAATTCAAAGTATTTCAAATTAACTCACATCAAATTCTTCTTCCCAGGTTAGTAGAGAATTTTGTTCTATTGTTTATTGATTTCCATGTTCTGAAGAAAATCTGCAGAAATTCTATTGTATAATTCAGCACTTAGATAGTTTCGATGGCTTCTGGCACTCAGTTTGTGACTGAAATAATGCTTTTTGCAAGTGGTAGCCCTGCCAAACTCATCGGTCATGCAGGGTTGTAGTTCATGCACCATTCTGAATGTGAAAAACTCTTCAAGTTCTGCCGTCATATCCACCCTCTGAAAGCCAACAGCCTGCATGGCTTTGCACAAGCAGAAACAAGAGTAGCATTTGGCATCTGAAACTTAGTTAAGAATTTTACCTATCATTCACTAAAAGGACCAGAACTCAGCTCAGTCTGCTGTAGCAGCATCAGGTCTGAAAGACTAGTAAGAGGTAAAGATGATTTTGCCACCAAAAGAAATGTTACAGATTTCACTGATATGCTGATATCTCATTGTGCATCTGTATTCATGCGCGTGAATGGATGTTCTATCTTCCATCATGTTCTATGACGGAGTGACAGCAACAGTCAATAAGGGAAGACCAATTGATGTCATCTACCTAGATTTCTGTAAAGCCTTTGACACAGTCCCACACAACATCCTTATTTCTAAATTAGAGAGATATGGAGTTGAAGGGTGGACCATTCGATGGATAAGAAATTGGCTGGACGGATGCATCCAGAGAGTTGCAGTCAATGGCTCTATGTCCAGGTGGAGACCGGTGATGAGTCGTGTCCCTCAGGGCTCTGTCTTGGCACCAGTGTTTTTCAAGATCTTTATCAATGACATAGACGGCAGGATAGAGTGCACCCTCAGCAAGTTCGCAGACGACACGAAGCTGAGTGGTGCAGTTGACACACCTGAAGGATGGGATGCCATCCAGGGGGACCTGGAAAAGCTTGACAGCTGGGCCCATATGAACCAAATGAGGTCCAACAAGTCCAAGTGTAAGGTCCTGCACCTGGGTTGAGGTGATTCTAGACATGAGTACAGACTAGGAGCGAAGTGTCTATTTCTGGCTCATGCATATTATGGCACAGATATTTCCCAGAAGATAATGTGGCTTTTACTTGAAGCCAGCTCTTTCTGCTGACTCCAGGTGGAAAGCCAGGGTATTCGGGTTACGGGCTTATATGTGCGATCCGCCTTCAGTGTGATAGGGAAAACGGGGCCCAGTTCTGCTCTGGGTTTTATGCAAAGCTGAGTTCTGCAATTAGCATGGCCAACCTGCGGCTTTTGAGCCACAAGTGGCTTAAGCGCAATACAAATGGGGTGGCTTCGTGCAGCTGGCAGTGGATCTATGCTGAAGGAGGTCCTATGGGATGAAGCGGGAGATAAGACACTGTTGACCAGGGCCGCAACAGCAAGGTCAGCCCACCATCATCGGTTTCAAACTGAAAGAGGGTAGATTTAGATTAGATATAAGGAAGAAGTTCTTCACTATGAGGGCGGTGAGGCAGTGGAACAGGTTGCCCAGAGAGGCTGTGGACGTGTTCAAGGCCAGGTTGGACGGGGCCCTGAGCACCCTGGTCTAGTGGGTGGCATCCCTGCCCATGGCAGGGGAGTTGGAGTTAGATGATCTTCAAGGTCCCTTCCAGCCCAAGCCATTCTGTGATTCTATGATTGATTCTATGAAGCCATTTTCAGATAAGTCACTTCAGATAAGTAACTGTTTCTCGAGGGAGCTTAAGGATTTTTTTATATATACATATTCAGAACCAAATAAAATGGGAATTCCAGAAAGCAAATAAAATTGAAATCTATTGCATGTAGTGTCTAGATATACAGCTCCTTTTGAATGCTTTTTCACACAGATATACACACAAATTCACCAGTCAGGTTAACGAAAGAAGAAAGATTGAAGTACGAAAAACGTATGAGTATTAAAACAAAATAAAACAAACAAAAAACCACCAAAAAACAGGTGCATATTCTGACTAAAACACTCCAAAAATGCAGTGCAAACAAAATGTAGAGAATAGGGAAAAGGGATAAAAAAGTGCAGCTAAACTAGCAGTAACTGAAGGAAGTATGTTACAACAGAAAATGCTGATCCCCTTAAATTATTGGTTGCACTTGTGCAAGGCAGCCAACATGCAAATATTACAATGTGGCTGTAAGTTTCTTCAGCATCTTATTAAGGTATCATGAAAACTTGGGAGATGCAGAAATCTGAAACATTACATTACATGAGTAATGCTTCAGAAAAAGATGCACTTACAACCACATATATATGTACAATTGTTCTTCTATTTTAATATTTTAAGGCTTATCACCATTCAGAAGTGAAAAAGCTGAGGAAAATAAGAGCAATATGAGGACAGTGAGAGATGCTGAAGGGAAGCTGGAAGCACAGTCAGGAAAACTGAAAATGTAACACATTAAATGGGATGGCCAAATCCACAGAAATTAGAGCAAACCTTCATCCTTCCCTGTAAAAGAGACCAACTTCTCTGTTCTGTTCCAGCATAGGTTAACTTAATAAGAACATATTACACAAACTGACATACTGTAAGAACAGTTATTTCTCACAGTACTTTTCAGAGCTGCAAATTGAAAGTACTGAAAAAAATAATTTAAAAAAAGCTGTCAAATTACTATTGACTATATTCTTCTTTCTGTCATGCTGGTGTAAAATTACTGTAAAACTGATGAAAAGTGAAATTACTTCAGATTTACTTTTATGTAAAAGAATACTGCTTGACCATATGTAATTATGTGTCTTCAAGTCTCATGAAGAAAGTGAACATACTTCCTGTGTTTTAGCCATGAGATTAATCCATCTCACTGCCAAATACAAGGAAGGTAGTTGTTACATCAGTTAACTCCAAACACACATAGATCTTCTGTGCTACGCTCTTACACTCTTCAGGTATCAAAAAAATTAAGATCATGGATACGAACAGGGGAAAAAAAAGTTACTGTACATGCAGGAAAAAGAAATCCTATTTCTCCCTGTGTTTATGGAATACCAGAAAAATTCTGAAAATCACTTCTTTCAGAAAGCACGAAAAGAATCAAGGTTGAACAAATAATGGAATCTGTTTCCTATTATTTGTAAGATGCTGTGTCCTATGTACAAGTATAACACTGAAAGAGATGATGCAAATGTACCTCAGGTTTACAATGAGTCTCAAACTTAGGCATGAATTTTGAAAAGTACGCATACACACAAGTAGAAGTCAGGTGTACAAGCAAATTCACAGCTTGCATAACTGTATCAGGCAGCATGGCCCCATTCAGAGGTATGAGGAAAAAGCTCCTTCATCTTTGAAAATATAAGTCAATCAGTTAATCTACCATATTTGATTAATAAAATCAGAATACACAGAATGAAAGCAGAGCAAACTATAAAAATTTGTTTTGCATAGACTTCTGGAACTTTAGCTGAGCTACATACCAAGCTGTATATTAGCTGTAAGCAGTAAATTGAACTGTGCTGTGTCTGACCCATACTGGCAATTCTTTCCCTCCCTAGCTTCTAACTAATAATGTATTTCTCATACTCTTACTTTACAGCATATGAGTTTAAATTAATTTTATCACCTTTTTTTTCCCATTTTTTTTTATACTATGGTGATACATGGGAAAAAAAAAGGATGATATAAATGTTAAAAAAAAAAAAAAAAATTTACTGGAAGGGACCAAAGGAAA